GAAAACCTGGGCTGGAGTGATAGCACAGCAGGTAGGGCGTTTGTCTTGCACACGGCTGACACGGTTTCGATTCCTCTGTCACTCTCGAAGAGCCCGGCATGCTACCAAGAGTATCCCGCCCCCACGGCAGAGCCTGGCAAGCTCCCTGTGGCGTATTAGATATGTCAAAAACAGTAACAACAAGTCTCATGATGGACATGTTACTAGTGCCTGCTTGAGAAAATCAATGAACAATGGGAGGACAATGCTATAGTGCTACAGAGAAAATCTACTCTGGTGGCTTTACAGTGAACAAATTTGGAAGAAAGTTTCAGAATGAGATTCAAAGAAAGTTGGTCACAGATAATTTTGTAAAAGCCTGAGTGAGAGGTCCAAGGAGAGAGCTCTCGGGACTGGTATGTGTACTGTCCATGCAGAAGCCCGGGTCTCATTCCCAGCACCTCAAGGAGCTACCTTTATGCACGCAGTCAGGAACAGCCCTTGAGTGCTGCTGGGTGTGGAAATGGAGGAAACATCTGGTCAGAGATGACTAGTACCTAAATTAAGGCAACATCTCTGAAGAAGTGTTCTAGGAATATCTTCGGGAGAAGGTATGGAATGTGTATGAAGATGATGGAATTCTGGATAGAAAGCACAGGGTTTGTTTAAGGTGTAGGTAAGAACACCCTCATACCCAAATCGTCGGGCCAAATCTTGAAGTCAGTTTTGATAGATGTTTGTGAGTGCGATAGAATTTGTAGCAGTTGTTCTTGATGAGATCATTTCTTTGACAGAACTTTGACCAAATTTCCAGAGACAAGATGGGTCTATTTTCACACTTAGAGCCATTGGCCCTCTCAGAACCACTTTATCACATCCTTGCCATGATACTGATTCAAAAGACTGTGTTCCCTTGTTTTTACAGTTCTTGTGTTTCTTTTTTTCAATCTTTGTTCAAGGAGGCTGTTATGGGAGCTGGAGAGATAGCACAGTGGGTTGGGTACATTCTTGCACGTGGCAGATCCAGGTTCAATCTCCAGCACCTGTATAGTTCCCAATCCACCACCACGAGTAATCCCTGAGCACAGAGCCAGAAGTAAGCACAATCAGAAGTCACCAGACTTGTGGGCATGACCTCAAAACAAAGCAAAAGGGAGGCTGTTATGGATGTGAAAGGGGGTTAATTATGTCACCAATTTTACATTCTTCATGACATTAGGGCTGGAGCGATAGTACAGCGGGTAGGGCATTTGCCTTGCACACAGCTGACCCAGGTTCGATTCCTCTGTCCCTCTTAGAGAGCCCGGCAAGCTACCGAGAGTATCCCACCTGCACGGCAGAGCCTGGCAAACTTCCCATGGTGTATTCGATATGCCAAAAACAGTAACAACAGGTCTCACAATGGAGACATATTGGTGCCCGCTTGAGCAAATTGGTGAACAATGGGATGACAGTGCTACAGACAGTGCTACATGGCATTGATTCTGTAAGAATGTGATATACCTCAGCACTCCTGTTCTACGATGCTAACTTTGTTACAGTGTTCTACTTTTGTCACTGCTCCTGAATTATAATACATTTGATAGGAATTCTGTTCCTAATATTATCTGGAATAAAATAATTTATTAGTTTTTACTAATATTGGAGTGCTACTTATTGAGGCAGTGTAGGCAGAGGATTCTGACACTTCTTCACTGCATTGTCTCCAAATCTCTAACCCAAAGTGCTTTCTCGTAGATACAAAAGCAAAATACCATTCTCTTCGCTTTTGAAATCTTGCCCTGAAACAAGTATGTTACTTAACATGTTCTCACATTACTATTCACCTCTGGGAGTGTATCTCATAAGGGATTGTTTTTAAAGTTCCTTTTATCAAAGTGAGATATTTGTCAGTGGTACAAAGTTAAGAAATCAGTAAATATTAATCAAATGGAGAGTTTCTCTGTATATATATATGTATATAGTTATGATGGTGGTTGTAATAATATGGATATGTGAGTCAAATATATCTGGTTTCAAATTTTCTTTCAATTTTAATTTAATATAGACTTTTAGACTTCCTAAAGCCAAGTTTACCCTACTCACTGTACTATCTGTCCAGTCCCATAACAGCCTCCTTGAACAAAGACCAAAAGAAAAAAACACCATATATATATATATATATATATATATACACACACATATATAATGTACATGCACATTATATATTTATAAAGTGTCCTAGACATTGTTCTAAAAGTTTTATATATCTGTAAATATTCATTTAATCTTCTTGAAAAAATATTGAGTTAGATGCAATAATTATCCTTGGCTTTAGAAGTCAAGACTAAATAAGTGACTTGATCAACTTCCTTCACATATTTACTATGAATATTTAATAAAATAACAATTATTGCCTTATCCAGCTTAGACCTTCACACATATTAAATTAATGGTTAATATATATCCTTTGCTTTCATGTTGTAAGGTTCAGAGGGCTTGTTGGTAAGATCAAATAAACAACCGAAGAGACACAGTTTGAAAAGGAAATAATTTAAAATAAATAAAGGTAAAAGGTAAAGGTAAAGGCCCTCCCGTTGATCGTCGATTTGCTCGAGCGGGCCCAGTAACGTCTCCATTGGAGACTTTGTTGTTACTGTGTCTGGCATATGGAATACTCTCGGTAGCTTGCCGGGCTCTCCGAGAGGGGCGGAGGAATCGAACTCGGGTCGGCCATGTTGGCCGCTTGTAAGGCGAATGCCCTACCCACTGTGCTATCGCTCCAGCATTAAAATAAATAAATTAATTTTAAAAGATTGTTAGCATTGTCCATCAATAAGTCATCATACCAAAGATTCATTCATTCTACCACTGAGGAACTTTGTTTGGAGATAGCCAAATGAACACCAACCACATTTGAAAAGAATTCAAGTTCAAAAAGGCAGGATTTTTCTAACTGATATTACAGCACAAATCCTCATATATTTTGCACCCGCAGAATGAATTTGGTATTGTGAGATTTAAAATGGATTAATCCATCTTGCCCTAGTGGCATTAAAACTCAAGACCCATAGGTTGATGATACAAATCAACATATGCAATCTTTTTTCAAAGTGTTTGTTCTTGAGTTTGAAGAAGACAAATCCAAAAGATGGAGAGATAAAGATCCTCATCCTATATGAGGCTAACCTTTGCAGTGTTTCAACATATTTTTGTCTTATGAACAAATTCATAATTACTTTGTGTTTCAGCTCTTTTTAAGTCATCTGTATGTCATCAAGTAACTTTGAACTAAATCCACATTTTATCTCTGTCTTTCCATGTGCATTTCATTTCCTTTAACCACTGGTTTTGAAATCCTTTGCCTACAGCTTTCATATTTTTTGTTGTTTGAGGATAGGCAGAACTTCCCACACATAACTTGTCTACAAGGGAGGGATGTGTCTGTCTCTAGTGTTTACTGGTGGTTAGTGGGGGTTTTATCTAAGAAATATTCAGTTCTTTGCAACGAAGCATCAACATCCTTGTGGTATAAGCCTGTGTGTCTATTCTGTGTACCTTTCTCCCCCCCCCCATTTTGGCCCCACCTTCTTCTAGATGGCGGGAGGTGAGGTTTAATGGCTCCCCAGACGAGAGAAAGAATGACCTTCAGAGGACAGAAAGCAGGGAGAAAGGAAAGTGTGAGCAATATTCAGAGGGTCCTGCCTCAGCTCCCAGAATACTGAAGATATTTAGTATGATAAGACCTTGGGAGACACTGATCAACAAACAACAGTCAGAAAAATGGTACCCGTGTCCTTACAAAAAATCCCATAAAATTAAAATGGATACCATGTCAGTATCGGATCGGAGCTGCTCGGACAGGGGCTGAGCATCCTCCACCCAGATCCTCCAAATTCCAGTAGGCAGGGGTCACACCCAGCAAATGGCCCCCTGGTGCCGTGTAATCCCATCAACGGCCAAGACTCAGAGACTATAAAACCCAGCTCCCAGAAGTGACATCTTATTATCTCATTCCTACTTTGGACAAACTGGCAGGCTATTGAACATAACCTGCCCACAAGGCAAAGTCTGGCAAACTCCCCATGGCGTACCCAATATGCTAAATACCAGTAACAATGAAGGGTCTCATTCTCCTAACCCTGAAAGAGCCTTGAATATGGCACTTTTTAAAAAAATCTCAGGGCTAGGTGGAAGGAGATGTTACTGGGGCCTGCTCGAGGCAATCTACGAACAACAGGATGATCATGATCATCGTGACCATGTCAGTCGGGAGATTTTTTTGAAACTTTGAAACAGTGATTTCCCTCTCCCCACTGCTCCGTGGCTCCCATAAATTGATAATAGCTCTTATAATTTGCTTTAAAAATATTTCTTTAAAGGAAAAAAAATCATGGCTTAGATGTCTTTGCCCAGCTTTCAGTAAACACTTGCCAAATGAGTAAACTTTGTCTCCACATGAAAAAAAAATGTTGACAATTACAGAGAAAACTGAAACCAATATCTAGAAAGTAAACTATCTTTCCAAGGACCACAAATATAGGTACTACTTTAAAGACACTACTTTAAGTATACTGAGTAACATCTTACAAGTGATTACTTGGGTTAAAAAAATATCATTTATTTTCTTCATAACAAGGCAAAAATCAGTCTTGGATAGCTTAAATGAAATGGAACTAAAGAAAATTCTCAAAATTAAGGCAAAGAGAAAACAGAAGCAAAATTAATGGAGAACCCGATAGAAAAAAAATACTTACCTTATTATATATCTTTCAAATATATATGTATATAGCACTGTAGCACTGTAGCACTGTCGTCCCATTGTTCATCAATTTGCTCAAGCGGGCACCAGTAACGTCTCCATTGTGAGACTTGTTGTTACATTTTTGGCATATCGAATATGCCACAGGGAGCTTGCTAGGCTCTGCTTGCGGACAGGATACTCTTGATAGCTTGCCGGGCTCTCTGAAAGGGATGGAGGAATTGAACCTGGGTCAGCTTGTGCAAGGCAAATGCCCTACCCTCTGTGCTATCACTCCAGCCCACTTTGGCAGCAAATATACTAAAATTGAAATGATACAGAGAAGATTATCATGGCCCCTGAGCAAGGATGACATGAAATATATGTATATATTAGAAAATATATGTATAATATATATTATATATATACATATATATATATACACACACACACACACATATTTTATTTCTGTTGGGTCAGAACCATCAGTGCTCAGAGTTTACTCCTGACTTTGCACTAAGAGATCTCTCTTAAAGGGTTCAGGGGACCATCTGGTGTGCCAGGGATCAAACCTGGTCTTATGCAAGGTAAGTTTCCTACCCACTATACTATTACTTGCCCTTAGTAATTATTTAATAGCTATAAACCGCTTTGCATTAATTTTAAATTCTGTGTCTTATATTATTAACTTTTAATAGATTGATTATTTTTTTCCAAAACAGTAAGGTTAGAAATATGTACAGCAGGAATTACATACATCATATACCATATGTTTTTATATTTTTGGCACATATTTCTGTAAATGTGTCCACAGACATTGTTGTAGACTTTTTTTTATTTTATTAAACCACCATGAGATACATAGTTACAAAGTTGTTCATGATTGGCTTTTGGGTTTTGATCATACAATGTTTTAATACCTATCCCTTCACCAGTATATACTTCCCACCACCAATATCCCCAGTTTCCTCTCCCAGTATGCTTTAATGGCAGGCACTTTTCTCCCTCCCCTCCTTCCCTCCTTCCCTCCTTCCCTCCTTCCCTCCTTCTCTCTCTCTCTCTCTCTCTCTCTCTCTCTCTCCTTTTCGGCATTACGGTTTGCAGTACAGGTACTATTGTGTTTTCCTATTTGCACTTTAGGAAAGAGGAACATTGAGGACATGCTAAACACTAATGCTATGAATGAAATCTTCAAGTGACATTGTCACATATGCTGATCAACAACACTTTTATGTTTGAACATCTTTATTGTGCCTCATGTCATTACTAGTTGTATACAACCAGCCATACTTGGAAAGTTCCTGGTGGCATTGAAACTCTGAAGGAGAAAAACGGTGGGTACAACTATCTGCATAGGATTGATTGTGTCCAACTAAAGAGGGTTATTTAATGTCATTCAAATTTAACCACAGCATTAATACATCTCAAAAGACAGTTTAATGTCTTTCCAAGAGAGCTAGGAACTAGGGTTTTTCTATTGGTAGGAGTATCTAGATTATGTTTTGGACTTTGACACTCTTTTTAATTTTAGGAGCTGAGATTGCTGAATCAAGTTTCCCCAAGAACTTAGTGTTTACAATATTCTTAAAGTTGAAATTATTTTTTACACTAGTCAAAGTAATCACTTAAGGTTTTTAATATTCCAAAGTATGCATTTTCCCCCTCTTTCATGCATTAACTGATGGAAGGATGGGAATGCATAGTATATCATAGAAAAGAAAAATCTTATTAATAAAAGATTATGCACACAGAGATCAAGGAGATGAGATGGATGAAAAACTCTACTTTTTTATCCATTATGTTTTGAAAAAGGTGAACAGTGAGAACATGCTGAGAAATTGTGATGGGAACGAAACTTGAGGTGGCATTGTCGCATATAAAAATCAATAGCATCGGGGCTGCAGAAATAGCACAGCAGGTAGGGCATTTGCCTTGCACACTGAAGACCTGGATTCAATTCCCAGGATCCCATATGGTCCCCCGAGCACCGCCAGGAGTGATTCCTGAGTGCATGAGCCACGAGTAAGTACCCCTGTGCATCACTGGGTGTGACCCAAAAAGAAAAAAAATCAATAGCATTTCCTTTTATGTTTGGGCATATTTATTTTCTCCTGAGTGATCTTTAAGTTCATATTAATCCTCTCGGAATTGGGTCTAGGAAGGTGGTACCATCAGGTGTACCTCACAGCTCACAGCTAGCTCTCTCCTAGAGAATTCCTTGTGTGTGTGTGTGTGTGTGTGTGTGTGTGTGTGTGTGTGTGTGTGTGTTTGTCTGCCTCAGTCTTAAGCCTGTTGGCAGGTTCCTTTCATCTGGTTTCCCTCAAGCCAGGAACAGTTTCTTTTTGCTTCTGAGAACAGAGAAGACTCTCAGGATTCAATCTCAAACTGAAGCCTCTAAAAGATAATCTTTCTAAAGGACCAAACATGAGAACCTCTCAGTATCTGTACTGCAGACCATCATGCCCTAAAGTAGAGAGAGAGTATAGGGAAAGCTGTCTGCCATGGAGGCAGGTGGAGGGCTGGAAAGGGGGTGGATACTGGGGACATTGGTGGTGGAGTATGTGCACTGGTGGAGGGATGGGTGTTTGATCATTGTATGATTGAAACTCAAACACGAAAGCTTGTAAATGTATCTCACGGTGATTCAATAATATAAAAAAGATAATTTTTCTATTGATAAAATGGACTCTGAGGTGAACAGAGCATTAGTAAGTACCATATTCATACCACATGAAGGGAAGTTTCTCCTGTCCTTTAAAGGTGCTCTAACATTTCTTCCACACTGGTTTTAAAGCTACAAATTCCCTGGGATGTTGACTATCCATGAAGCTCTGTGTAGGTTCTTCAAATCTGAATGATAATCTAGCCAGACCGATTATTCTTGGTAAGGTTTCAGTTTGTTGAGATTTTGTACAATATCTTTTTATATTCTACCAACTTGTAGAGTCTCATTTGATAGATATATCTTCTGTGCTTTCCTTTGTATGTGAGTTCTTTGTTGATCTTGCTGCTTTCAGTATTCTGTCTCTATCTTTAACTTCTGTCATTTTTGAGTATAATGTATCTTACAGTTTCCCTAAGTGGGTCTATTTTCATTGGGACCTTTGGGACTCAGATCTCTGAGCCTGTAATCCCCAACTCTGGGAAGTTCCTGTCAATGATTTCTTTAATTATTGTTTCTTCACATTTGCCTTCCAGTTCTTCAGAGTCGTCCAATTATTCTTATATTGCTCCTTTTGAACTCATCCCATAGTGCCATAGGATGCTGTTCATTTCTTTTCAGACGATTTCCCACTGCCTGCTGTTGCCTAATGTCTTCCTTCTTCTCATCTTGGAGCTTTCCAGCCATTTGCTCGGCTTCAGTTGTCCTGATGTTCAGAGGTTCTATTAACAACTTTTTGTCTCACCTACCCTGTTCTTAGCCCAGAGGTTGCCCTCTGTTTTCTCCACCTGGGATGGTGAATCAGCAAGCAGAAGGTCATGAAGGAGCTCTGCCCTTAATATGATGCAGTTGGGTGTGCAGACTTCTGGAACAAACCCCAGAGGGAGGGGCTCTGCCTTCCCTTCAGAATCGTCCGGTGATGTCACCAGAGGTGAACTTCACCTGGGATGGTGGAGTAGTAAGCAGAAGGTCCTCACATCATGTTTTTGAAAGAATAGTAAAAACTCGATGATCACCTCAACCAGTGTCTCTAGAAAGACAAAGATTAAAGTTACAGTCACAGTAACAACAAAGTCTCTAATGGAGATGTTACTGGGCCTGCTCGAGAAAATCGATGAACAACGGGAGGACAGTGACAGACAGTGACAGTGAACATCACAGTCTTATAAAGAATCAGTAAAACCAGCTAGGAATATTTATGTATCAACCAACAAATAGTCTAGAAGTAGTAGACACATTTTTCGAATCACATACCCTCAGAAAATTAAAAATACCAAAATTAAACGTCTTGACCAACTGGGTGATATCACAGTGGATAGGGAGTTTGCCTTGCACACTGTTGAGCCAGGTTCGATTCCCAGCATCCCATATGGTCCCCCCAGCATCGCCAGGAGTTATTCGTGAGTGCATGAGCCAGGAGTAACCTCTGTGCATCGCTGGGTGTTTCCCAAAAGCAAAAAAAAAAATTAAAAAACATTTACACAATGGAGTATTATGTAGCTGTTAGAAAAGACGAACTCATGAAATTTACATACAAGTGGTACTACATGGAAAGTATCATGTTAAGCGAAATGACTCAGAAAGAAAGGGATAGACATAGAAATATTGCATTCATCTGGGGAACATAAAGTAACAAAATAGGAGACTAACACCCAAGAATGGCCAAGATTGACCCTCCCGTTGATCATCGATTTGCTCGAGCGGGCCCAGTAACGTCTCCATTGGAGACTTTGTTGTTACTGTGTCTGGCATATCGAATACTCTCGGCAGCTTGCCAGGCTCTCCGAGAGGGGCGGAGGAATCGAACTCGGGTCGGCCATGTTGGCTGCGTGCAAGGCAAACACCCTACCCGCTGTGCTATCGCTCCAGCCCAAGATTAGTACCAGGGGCCAAGATTAGTACCAGGAATTTTACTCCATGACTTGGAGGCCAACCACACATGCTAGGGGAAAAGGGAACTCAGATAGAGAAGGAAACACCAAATAAAGGTGTTGGGAGGATCCTCCCAGGATGGGAGAAGCATGCTGAAAGAAGACTATAGACCAAACATGATTGTCACTCAATGCTTCTTTTGCAAACCACAACACCCAAAAGGAGAGAGAGAACAGAGGGGAATGCCCTGTCACAGAGGCAGGGTGGGATGGGGAGATGGAGGGATGGGGAGTGGGAGGGATACTGGGATCCATGGTGGTGGGAAATGGGCACTGGTGGAGGGATGGGTATTTGATCATTGTATTATTGAAACCCAAGCACAAAAATTTGTAAGTCTACACCTGTACCTCATGATGTCTCACTAATAAAAATTTAAAAAAGTCTTGACCAATATATAATGTGATTGAAAGAGTGGTCCAACCCCCTAAAAAAATAAATCAAATAACTGGACAAATACATTTTATCAAACTCTCAAAAAAAAACCCCTTAAACCTATCATCCTCAGGCTCTTCTAAAGAACTGAAGTAGAAGAAGCACTTCTGAATTAATTTCACAAAGGTGACATGATTATGATAGCCAAAGCAGAGAAGAGCATTGCCAAAAAAAATAATAATTTAGGGTTGAGAGTTAGTACAGGGAATAAGGCACTTGCCTTGCATGTAGCCAAATATGGTTCAGTTCCTGGCATGACATATAATTCCCCAAGCACTACCAGTGATCACTCAGTAATAACAGAACCAGGAATAGTTCCTGAGAAACTTTGGGTGTACCCTGCCCCCAACCCCAGAAGAAAGAAAAGAAAAATGTAACC